AAAAGGCTTGTATTTAGTGGCAGTCTCCCCTAGCCTGAACAAGTTATACAGTTTACTTATTAAAAACACATAGTATTTTATACTTTGCATCCTTCTGTAATCTTATGGGGCAAGGTAGAAACAATTCTTACTTCTTCTATTTTCGTACAGTTGATCTCAACCTTTGATGTTTACAAATAGTCCTTTTATTTTTCAAACACTAGGGAGACTTGTTATGCTGGGAGGTCTAGTCTGTTGTATGTTTCCATGTTCAGAAACTGTCCTTTAAAATCAAATGTGGTTGCACACTTGAAACTATGATTACCTGCAGGACAAACTTTAACAGGCATTTCAGTATGTGTGGTACGACTCATTAATTTTGGTTGCTGTCCAGTAGTGCAAAGGTGGTACGCGGGTTTTGCGGAAAAGTATACTCATTATAATGTTTAGCATATCAATGTGAAAAATCTTTATTTTTTCTTCACCAGTTAGTCCTCTGCAAATGTGGTGTCATTAGCCTCAGCCACGTGTGCCAGGCTGCATGGCTGGGAGGTGCTGCCGGTTTAGAAGAAACCTTTTCTCTGGGTAGTTTACATTTTGTGAAGTTTTAGCTCAAGGGAGTGGATTTCTTTCTCTTCTGGAGGGCATCAGTATACAGACTTTGCATTACCTGGCTGCCTCGTTTCATTGCTGATCAGAAGGAGAACCCTGTTAGGTATAGCAGGAGGGTCCTCGCTATGCCATACCTCTGTGCTCTGGTCACCAAGTTGGTGTCATATACAGTAGCAGCCTTAGCACAGGAATTTCTGTAGCTGGAAATTTTGTGAGACTGCACATTCATTCACTTGCAGTCAGCCGCTGCGTATCCATCCTTGTGATAATTACTCAGCTGCTATTAATATCAGCTGAAATGGAACCAGCAATACAGAGCTAAAGGCTTTGTGCCTTACCGTTCTTTGGTCGTCTTTATTTGCCCTGTCTCTAGCTTGGGTTTGGACCCTAAGATAATGTTTTGCAGAATAACATTGTTTCACGTTCCTGGTAGCACTGCGTTTTGTGTACAGTCTAACCAAACTGTAATAATTAGCTCATCATACCTAATTTTGTACTTCGTAAAGTAAAGCACAATAATGGTTTGAAAATAAAAATGGAATTTGTTACGTTAACAGCTCAGTGACCTGCTTCCTGATAATAAACTCTTTCTAAATAAAAACAAAAAAATGCTAAGATCGAATGAAAAGATTGGATGCTCTGAAGGGTTGACATATTGAATATTCAGTGTAATTGTAAAATTAGATGAGTTAACAATGATTAATGTCCTAGATTAAATGGTATTCTAGTGTTAATTTCTTTGACCCTTACATCTAATTCATGTTAAAGTACAAAATAATTATTGCAAAACCATTCTGCAGTTTCTGCAGTGGCCAGTGTTTGCAGTGACAAATTAAGCAGATTGTGCTCTCAGCTTGAGAAAGGACAAGGAAAGTCTTCATATATCTGTATTTTAGGACATTTTCTTCCATTTATAGTAATTTGTAGTAAAGGACTTCTTTTACATTTCATTGAAAAGATGAATCAATTGGAAAAGTCCCACATAATATCATTATTACTACTTTATTTTATGTACCGAGGGTTTCAAAGTGAATTATATTGCATCAAATGAAGTTCTCATAGAACTGCATGCAAGAAGTACAGCCATATCACGTAAATATATATGATATGGTTGTATAAAAATTATGCATACAAAGATAATGACAAGGCATAAGCGTAAAAAGCTTTATTTAAGAACAAAAATTAACTGTTGGCATAAACTCACTAGCTTCTGCATCATAACACTGATGGCAGTGCTATATTGGTTAAGCAAACTCTTTCTGAGAGCATATCCAACAGACAATAAAGTGCATGCAGAAGTGAGCGTAAATATTTCATGATAGCTTAATCTCAGTACAAAAAAGGCCTTCTTAGAACATTCAGTGCCGATGACTTTGCCTCCCGCTGCCACTCTGCTTTATGCTGATCAATCAGGTAGACATACTGCCTGCTGCAGTTCGAGATGCATTTTCAGCCCCTTCAGGCTGATACCACAGTTATAGTTCAGGAAGAAGCCTATCTCATGAAGCGAAGGGGAAAAAAAAAAAGAAGGATGCAAACTACGTTACAGGGTAACTAGGTATGAGTTTAGATTTGAAGATAGCATTAGAAAGGTTATGTTACAGCAAAGTCAACAGCAGATGTGCTGCTCCACTATTACTATTCTTAGTTGCTTTGCTATGAGCACTGCTGTGGGGCATCCACCTGTTTTAGTTTCTCTCCCATGCCATTATGGTACCAGGCAGTATTCTTTTCTGTAACCATATTGATCTCTGGAGGGAGAAGTTAAAGGATTTTACCTGTGCAGTAAAGGAACATAAATCATATTCATTGTACCTAGGAAAAAAAAAAATCCTACTAGTCATCAGAATAAGAAATCTTCATGATCTCCAGAAAACATAGATCAAAGGTCAGTCTTGCTAAGGAGAACTTAACCTCAGCATCCTAGATGATCTGTATATTTTGGATTCTCACACTTGAAGAAAAAAAATGAGAGAGATAATACATGACATGGTCCAAACCAATTACAGTTGCTCTGTAGTTTCTAATCCAGTATCATCAATTAATTGGACAGCAATGAAAGCAA